CAGGTTATATCTATCAATTGTACACATTTGTGAGTAGTATACCTTCAACATTATGTGTGTTGTAGTGAGTTAACTGAAAAGTGTTCCGTTTAACAATGGCACGATATTCATATCGTTAGCAGGCAGATATGATTTTTACATAAGGCTGCTCGAATGAGAATGGACGCGAGGCTGCACGTCTCTATCAGGTTGCGTTTCCAGACCGAAGGCAGCCGAGTCATCCAGCTTTTGCTGCTGTTTATTGCCACGTTGCTGAGACATAGTCTGTGACACCACAAAATATGGAGCGAGGAAGGCGGTGAGGAACACATTCTAGAGGCTGTTGGAAACAATCCAGTGATCAGCACACGTTAAGTGTACATCTCATGGATTGTAATTCAAGAGCAGTTGCCGTATTCATATCATCTGCAATGACTGCATTGTCTTTCGCTCTCTGACCACTCAACACGGGAGAATTTTTGCCGATGGTTTATTACACAAATTGCCGATCCGTTGCTTGTCTCTTCAGTCTTGTTTACTTTTAGGGTTTATCAAAAATATTTACAAACTTTAGGGGAGTGTTTCACACGCCAAAACAACGACAGAAGTCCATGTAAACATATTTTCGCAAATCCTTAGCTTTTGAGTTATTAAGTTTAGAGAAAGTTTACGATAGATGATGCTGTGTTGTGATGAAGACTTGGTTACATTTGTCATTCGTGTACATTTGTGGCTAGTCTGCCTTCAACGTTTAATCTATGTAGTAGTGAGTTAAGTGTTCCGTTTAACAATGGCCGGATGTTCATATCGTGAGCAGGCAGATATGATATTTACATACTGCCGCGCGAATGGAAATGGACGCGAGGCTGCACGTCTCTATCAGGTTGCGTTTCCAGACCGAAGGCAACCGAGTCATCCAGCTTTTGCTACTGTTTATTGTCACGTTGCTGAGCCTGTATATCCTGAATATTGTAGTTTAAAAGCAGTAAAGTCGACCTTGCTAACCGAACAATCCTCTGTGGCCAAATCGTTAAAGGCACGTCAAGCTAAATGACGGTTCCGTATAAGATACAAGTTCGATTTTGTAATGGACAAAGTCAAACAATTATTTTTTTTTTTTTAACCAATCGGTTAAGGCACGTCAGGCTATATGACAGTTCTGTACAGGTTCGACTCTGTCGGAGGATATATATATATATATTATAAACGGAGCATTTATTTAAATATTTCTTTCTATAAAAAGAATGTTAAACTTAAAAATGTCTTAAAATAATTGTCGGACTTTGTCCATTTCATAATGTGTGACGTCATTTGTTTACATTTGATACGCCATGAGCAGATATAAATGTACGTGAGAGATTCATAGAAGCGAACGCTCCTCTGTGGCCAAATCGGTTAAGGCACGTCAGGCTGTATGACGGTTTCGTATAGGATGCAGGTCGGAGGATGAATAATTTCTATGAAAATTTCTCGGACATTCAGGCCGGTAAATGTTGTTTAATACTGTTTATTATAAACAGGGAATTTACTTAAATATTTGTATTTATAAAAAGAATGTATAAACATAACAATGTCTTTATATATATTTTGAAATAGACAAAGACTGACAATTATTTTAAAACATTTTTTTATGTTTATACGTTCTATGAAAATTTCTCAGACATTCAGGCCGCTAAATGTTGTTAATACTGTTTGTTACTTGAATATTTGTATCTATAAAAAGAATACATATATATATATATATATATATATGATTTTTTTTTTCCTTTTTGCTTATGTTTCCATCACTTTTGTAATTAAATATTCCACATTGCGATAATGGAAGATCTACTGAGAATGTAGGGAAACGTTTTAAGACGTATTTTGAATATTTTAATAAAAAAAAAAGGAAATTTAAATTTCTCAACGACCCCTTTCTATCGTGCGCATGCGTAATCGCATCAACGTAAATGAAGTCCTAAAGGACGAAACACATCACACAAAAACTTTCACTTTGTCGTACGTCTTTTCCCTAAGAAAGATGTCGAAAAAAAAAATATAAAAAACTTAAAATGATATATTCTTGTATTTTTCTTTTTTTTAAGTAAAAGATAAAATTTCTGTGACTGCAGGACATTTGCTTAAATTTTTCAGTCTTTGTCCAAGCTCCCCCTATTGCAAAAAATGTAAAATTTGGATTCGTCTTTCCACAATACATTTTTCGAATATGAATTATGAATAAACTGTAAGAGAAACATTATCATTTGTTTTCACTATTATTGCAAGCAGTAAGAACAAAAGCTTATAATATAGGGTGCGGCAGAAATATCTCCCAGTTATATTTCCCAGAAATAACTCTCACATAATTGGAAAGCGCTATGACCAATACTGCCTCCTTCTAGCTAATAGTTTACCATTATGTGCGAGGTATTTCTGGAAGGAATACGTGGGAGATATTTCTGACACACTCTTTTTAATATAAGGTGAGGCCTCTTTTCGCCCTATGATTACATGAAACCCTGGCAAGTGGATTCTTATGGTTTTGAATTAATATATATATATATGATAGCTGGTCACTCGTATTAGTGGATACCCGTCTACTAGAACGGTCTGCTAATCCCTATTGCAGACGCGCGCTCGGGCGCATTTGTGTTGTCCAACACTCACAGAGCCCACGCATGGTTTATGCTGCAGACCTTAGTTACAGTTTCTGGGAGAGAGCGCGTAATCTAGCGTAGTCAACAACCTGAGCAAGGCCATTATGCTCAAATCCTCGGCCACGATGACTTATGACTTCGTGCTAGCACAGCTATCGAGAGCCCTTAGAGTTCCATGTATCTAATTTTACTCACAAGGCATCGGTCAACCTACCTTATGGTTTTCAGGCACACCCCAAAGGTACCGTACACTAGGATCGCCCCCTTCAAATCGATAACATCAGGAAATGAGGGCGGTGGGGCAACGGATAGCGGTTCGGATTGAGGAAGCGGAGAGCCGAGTTTGAATTTACTTACATGCCTTAGAAAAGTTATAAATCCTCTTCTTTTTATTTCTTGAAGAATACTTGGGAGGGTCTGAGATCTACATTTTCTTTTCCTCGTTAACAGCGTTTTTTCTTGTCAAAAATATATATTGTACTTACTGAAAGGCAAAATCCGAAAAATAAATTAAAAAGTGCCTACTCAATAATAACGTTCAAAGTTATATATGTAAATTATATATGTATGTTGTATATGTATGTTATATGTATATGTTATATATGTCTGTTAAATGTATATGTTATATATGTATGTAGTATATGTATGTTTTATGTGTATGTTATATATGTATGTTGTATATGTATGTAATATATGTATGTTAACGTGGACATGTCGAAATTAACCTGCCCATTGAATCAGAATGCTTGGAAAGGTCTGACATCTTCAAAAGGCTATTGGAAAAATACGAAGAATTTGTAGGCAGATGGTGGCTTTATTGACGAAAACAAAATATGATGCTGTTGTATGATAAATTTCTTTTTCTCTTTAAGTGCTTTTTTACTTGTCAATAATATATACTGTAGTTACTGAGAGGCAAAGTCCTAGCCAAAGCGATTTGGGCGCACCGGTCTAAAATGGTAGGTGTCATTACCCTGAGAGATGCAATTTCAATTCCTGCCGGGGAG